CTGTTTTAGCCATAAATAATTTGTATTAGAAAAAAATATATATATTCAGTCTTCATTAACATTCAAACTATATCAACACAATTTTGCTTCTGAGCCGCAAATAAGAATAAGAACTTCTGAAAAGCAAAAGTAGGAGTATGGAGTATAGATATGACTGAACTGAAATGTAATTCAGAATTCACAGAAAAATTGAGGGAAAATTTTCTCCTGCTCTTCACCTACATACAGCTTCCACTGGTCCAAAAGTAAATAACTAAAGCTTCAATAACAATATATTTTTTTTTATTTCAGGATCAATTTCAATGTCATTACTAATACCAGAAAATATCCAGGTCTTCATTTGCCATTATTACAACTTCTTTGAATTTTTTGGTCATCTGCTTAAATAGACCATCATTTCCACTTACAAAAAGAAATAAAAACTAGTAAAATAATACCATTAAGCATAAATATATATTGAAGGCTAAATATAACTGTTTCACTCAGTTTTGAATTTTTGTTTGTAATATCTACTAAGCATATATTTATGTTAAACAGCTTTTTGAACATTTGGGACTCATCCAGATGAGCACTCATGTGCATTTCCCCAGGGGCAAATAGCAGCGGCAAATAGTTGTGCTTCTGCTACTTGTCCTTAGGGAAAGTCCCTGCACATGTGCTGTGGCATGCAGCATATTACCCTGGGTGAGGCCAGCACCTGAGCTGGTCCCACCAGCCTTACCAGAGGTTCTGGGGGCCTCCCATGGCTGCAGCGGTGGCAATCTGAGCACACGGAGCCTGGCAGGTAGTCAGATTGTGGCTCTGGCTGGTCCGGGCAGTGCATGCCATGCCACTTTCATTTTTGCCTTTTTTTTGTTTTTTTTTTTGATACTCAGAGTTTACAGTATCTAAATTTGTCTCCATGCTGCATATTTGCAGCATGGAGAACCTATTCACACGCACCACATGCATTTTGTGGCACCTCAAAAGCCTTAGAGGTGTCACAAAGTACACATCCACACTCATCTGGACATGCCCTTGGAATCTATACAGACCAGAAGCAGGACATGAAAGAGAACTGATTTCTCTTAACTTCAGCCTCTTTGTCACACATTCATACAGATGAAAATCAACACTGATTGTTATAAATTATATAAAATGTGTCATAAAAATAATTAATATTCTGATGAATAACAAAAAAATGCCACAAAGTCAAATTAAAAACATGGTGTGATGCCAGAATTTGTGACTGTTCTATTTCAGATTCATCACATACAAGATTCACTTGATCTTTTTCTCAGTATTACTTTTGTGAGCATGTGACCAAGTGCCATTTGGGGTAGCTGAGCCCTTTTTCAGCTTTCACATACAACACAATAAGTCTCCAAGCTTCCATATAAAAAGTTCCATATAACAAATAACAAGATTACAGATAGCATCCAGAAGCCATGAGCAACAAGCAATCCTTTAAAGAATATTACTTATCGCAAATGGCAGCTAACGGTTGATGCAACATGCGCTGAATCTGTTCATGGATGATAATGTTGTGGGTGTTTAATATGCATTTGAAGTGGCCACAAATACTATCGCCAATGGCCAATAACAACATGTTGTTTTAGTAGTAGAAACATAAACCATGCATTGCAAATCAATACCATTTGTTTTACTTCTTGCAGCTAGTGATTACAAATGATCATCATCTATTAATTACAGAATTTTAATTCTTCACTGTTTTGCTTTCCAGTTGTAATAAATGAATAAATGATACCCAGGGCTCTTTCTGAGAAGTGGGTTGACTAAATAGCATACAAAGAAAAAGAATTATAGTGCTAAATTGAAACTAATAAAGCCTACTGATGAGGAAGAGTGGTATGATCAGTTGATAATCAAAAACAAAATGATTGTAAAATGAGAAACAAGTAGTAATCAAAGCTTTCAGTTACTCAGACATGAAAAAACAGAAAATATAAATAGAAATTAGGAAATTACAAAACTTTTAACTAAGTTTGTTAGAGTAATAAATAAGAGATGGAAAAGAATATTGATGAACATCAAAGAAGCTGAGGAATCTGGCACATGGTAAATGGCATTAAATAAGATAAACAGTAAAAACAAAAGAAGAAAATGCAAAAAGCCAAAAAAATGCATATAAAAACCATGCACAGTGATGTTGGATACAACCCCTATAAATTTCCTAAAACCAAATAGTTTATGTTTAATATATTCTAAATGAACCTACGACTTTTTTTTTTTTTTTTTTACTCTCAACACACTATACAAGGTAAGGTGGAAGCTACTTTAATCCACAACTCCAAATTCATTTGGAAAAAGAGAGGGCCTAGGGAACAATGGGCATGAGAACTGAGTAATAAGGTGTCTAAATTCTATTTTCTCCTTTTTCTCCTGTTTTCTCAAAACTCTTTGGGACAGGAAATGTCTTTTTGTCCTGTCCTTGTACAGTGTGTATAGTACAATGGAGTTCACCTTATCCATGATTAGAGCTCCTGGCCCTCAATCCAGGATCCCAATCACTATGGTTCCAAAAAAAAAATAATGACACCGAAGTGCTGACAAACTAACACAGCAGGTGCCATGGGAAAGGACTAACGTTGATTTCCTTTTGTCAGTCCCTGTGTGAAAAGTGAACACAGATGGTTTCATGTCACAGTTTTGACTGTCCTTTCCGTGGAAAAACCTGTGTCAAACAGAAGATGAGAGTGGGTTTGTGCATACCACTACTTATTTTTCCAGCAAGGCTATCCCCTTATTTATCTGGCAAAGCGACAACTTTCTTTACGTAACTTATGGCTTGAAGTCTGTAAGGATCATTCATTACAAATTCCTCACACCAATCTCATTTGGAATTTGTTCAGAATGCAGCAGCACTTTTGGTCATTCATTAGAGTAACTGGAAGCACACTGCAGCCTCCCTACACTCTTTACAATTACCTACTAAAAAATGATAGACTAGTTATGAACTGTTAGTGTTGGCTTAGAAATGTTTTAACAGAACAGGCGCTGGTAATATTCCAGCTTCATTCAACAAGTTACTGATGTCTCACAGCACCAACCTTTTTGGACTCCCATTTAGACTAGCAAATATTTTCCTCCTTTGCTATGGAAGGCTGTGGATTGTGAACCTCATTTCCTACAACACTGATCTTTGTCCACATTTCATCATTTCTCAAATACACCTAAAATATTCACACTCACTCCAAGTGGGGTTTTGTTTTATTTTGGGATGGTATTTTTAATTTTGGCATTCCATTACTCTACAATTAGTATGTTAAACTTAGAGCTGGAAGGAACTTCAGGAGGTCATCTGTCCAACCTCATGCTCAAGACAGAATCACCCCTGACTAAACCGTCCCAGGCAAGTCTCTCTCTAACTTGCAATTAAAAACTCCTAAGGATGCAGATTCCACAATCTCCATGGATAGCCTAAGGGAAAACGTTTTTCCTAATATCCAACCTAAATTTCTCTTACTGCAATTTAAGACCATTGTTCCCTCTTCTGTCCCGCGTTTCCCTCGAGACTAGCCTATCAGGCTAGCAGGTAATTAGTGTTATTAAATTCCCCCTCAATCTTCTCTTCTCCAGATGAAAAAAACCCAGTTCTTTCAGCCTTTCCTTGTAGTTATGTCTCTCAAATCTCTAATCATTTTTGTTGCTTTCTGCAGGAATTTCTGCTGAAATAATTTGACACATCCTTCTTGAAGTGCAGGGCTCAAAACTCAAAAAAAGTACTTCAGGTGAGACCCAGTACCAAATTAACTGATTCTGAATATAGAAGAAACATCACTTCCTTAAATTTGATTAATTTTAGTTAAAATAAGTTTTTCTTACAACATTTCTGGAACTTTGCCATTTCTCTCATGGCTTGAAAAATAAACATTCCAGAGAGTTTTGGAAAGGATATTTTAGGCATGTATGTCATACAAGATGCAACATAGGATTTCAGCGAGACTACAGTCTTAATCTCATGTCCTCATTCCATCAGCATTAACCACTAGACAGTAGCATTAAATGGTAAGCATAGAAGGTAGGAAGGTAGCAAGCTGTACACAAAACCCTGAAGACTAACAACTGTGAAACTACATAATTTGTCTACATGTTAAAAGTGGAATGTAAACTTCCTCAAAAAAGTCTACCTAAAAAAAAAATATCAATAAAAATCCGTCCTCTAGATGGAGAATGAAGTACATATGTTAAGTTCACCGACTGATTTCTAAAGTCAAGAACTCTTCATCACAAACTGTGGTAAAATCAAGGACTTTTGTGAACAGAAACATTTGTGTGCAGTGATTGATGGAGCGTCCTAATGATAAGTAATAAAACCAGTTTTGTTCACTTTATACATCACTGACCTGGAAGAAGGAATGTGCAGAAAGGTCAGTAAGTTTGCTGATTAAACAAAACCAGAGTAAAGGCAGTCAATACAAAGGAAGAGTTAAAATTCATAATAATTAGGGTGGCTTAGAAACAGAGGAGGATAAGTGTCTTATGTAATTCAGCCTTCAGACATGTGACATCAATAGGGTTAAGAATACATGAATAAACTATATGAAATGTTTAAGGTTTATATATCACAAGTACAAGAAAAATCCAAATGCAGCAGTATAAAAATATTGAATATACGTATCATATCCACACATTTATTAGATGTATGTATTTTAAACTATGAAAATCCAGAAACACAATGACATCTTAATATAAGGCAATTTATTAAAGATCAAACTGAAAAAAGAAAAGGAAGAATACAATTAAAACTCTTCTGGCCATCATGCAGATGTTTTTTTTCAAGAGCCAAAGGAGTAAATTTTTATTTAGCAAATAACTAGAGCCAACTCAAACTTGCATGGGACTCAAGACTCCACCGAGCCATTTAATACACTGTTTTGCTATAAAGTCAAGTTGAGCAAGAAATGATGCTTATTTACAGAACTTTCAAAAGTGTTGTTTAATCACTGGCATTCAGACCTACATGGAATAAATGCTCCTTTGTACATGTTCCTACTTACCCGCAAGGTCTGTATGTAAATACAATGTAGCTTTCTTCATCACTGCGTTCAATAAATGTAACACACGTGTGTTTTTCCCAGTGTCGCATTGCCTGTTTGAACATTGCTCGCTGGCTGCCTAGAAGAATTGTATGACATGAAATAGACAAGGTTTTTAAATTGACATCCTACTTCTTGGTATCTGACACTGAGGCACACTCCCAGAAATGAGTTATTTTGAAAACAAAGAAAACTTTTAACTCTGGTTTTCAAAACTAAATGATACAGGAATTAGTTTTCAAATATTTTGCTTTGTAAACTTATATGCTTCTTTAAACCATATGAAAAAGGCTTTTTTTTTTTTAAAAAATCAGACCCGGATTTTACGTTCAAAACCACTGAATGAAGAAACAGAGTGTTTGTAAAAGAAGGATATATCAGAAGATATGCACACATATTTCCCACATTTAATCTTCTAAAGAGTGAAGATTTTTTATGCTTGGAATGCAGACTGCGCTTTAATAATCTATATACAGTTTGTGCTATTTATGTGAGGTATGTTCCTTTTTTACCTTAGTGCATATGAGAGGAAAGTATTAGTGAGAGACAATTCAGAGTACCCAT